GTTTTACTCTTTTCGATTGTGACTGATTGTGTGTTACTACATAATCTTACTAAACCAGTCAATATCACTCGATTATAGTTCAATTAACTTCAAGTGCTTTAAATTTTAAATTATAAAATTGTGTTTCATACTTACGCATCATAGTGGTGTGTGCGGAGAAATACGGCGACACCGAGTTTATCGTTGACGACGAGCGTGTATTGATAGCGTTCTCTCGTAGCATGACAAGCGAACTATATCTGACCATTTTGTTGGAATTATTATTTAATGTGAGATTTTCAAAATTTAAAAAAAAACCTTACATTGTTGTACTTTTTAATTCCCTAAAAACATGATGATCACGTTTTTTAATCAATGTTCGGTAAATTGATATCTTTATAACTTAAAAATGTTTTAAAAAAATATTCATTCTTAATATTACCATAATATATTATACTGCAAAATACGCGATTTTATTTTCAAATACACATAACGCAACATGAAAATATTAATATTGAAAAAAACAAGAAAGGAGAACATAGATAATAAATGTGTACTGTTGAATGGACGTTCTTTATGTATAACCTTCTGATATGAACAGTAGAAATATTTTTAGCAAGGAACAGATTTTTGAATAATAGCCCATTTTATTAATCAACAATCGATGTACAAGCATGATAACTCACTATATAGTGAATAGTTATAGAGAATAGAGAAATGTTCACTATATCACTATAGGGAGAAGGTTCTATTGGTTAAAAAATATAAACCATTAAAAAAATTATTTATATATACACACATTAAAATTGATATTATTTATTATATGTAATTTATACCATTACAACTACTCGAACATACTATCATAATATATACATGATTACATAAATATAATTATCTGTATACATGTTTATGTCTAATTAAAATAAAATATGTTAATATCTAATGTCTGATTTTTCTCAAAAATATTTAAATATCATACCATGTCAAATTTTATAAAGTGTGCCAAAAACGTTTCCATTTAATGAAGACATCGATTTCATAATATGGTTTGAATACGGTGCACGTATTTTATTTTTACTATTTGAACACGGCCCTCGAATATTATTACATTTAAATATTCAATGTAAAAGATTAAGCACATTTCGACGATGGTAAATAAAATTGTACATTACATTTTACCGCCAAAAACTTCGAGTTTGTCATTAAAAATTAGCGGGTCGTAGTGATCAACATTAAAAATACTCGGGGGATATAAGTTGCAAGTGACTATGGTATTATAATGGAATAATTATGTATTTTAAAATATAAATAAAAACAGAAACAAAACAGATTGGTAAATGGTTGATAATCAGATAATATAGTTTTAATTAACGTACAAATTAAAAACTAAACGTATTTTAAAATTCTTCAGATATTTTTACACAGAATTAGAGAACTCAGAAGTCAAAACATTTTCACGTTTCACAAGCAGGTAACAATAAACAAAATAAAACAAATGAAATATTAATAATTAATGTGACAGTGAAATACATCGTCCGGTCGACTCGAACACTGTTAAAGTATTTACTCACTAGTAGTTCTTGTGTTTACTCCCTAGGGCGCTACTGCGTACTGTACGGACTCTTCCTAAACTCAATATTTTAGAATAAACGTCTTGGTATTCCGGAATCCTGCGTCTCTCTGATTTTGTTTCTATTAATGTACCTTCGATAATTAAATGTAGTATATTAAATAATATTATATATTATTTGCTTTAAGTGAAACACCAGTCATCAAAGAGTGCGGTGTGTTATCGAACACGAACATCAATAATTATACTATACCCGCACCGGTCGACTAAAGAGAGAAATAACTCTTTATAATAAATAATAATGTACGTATGAGAACGATGATAAAACTCAAAATTTAGTCGAAATAATAATTTTTTCAGAAAGTGGAATAATACTATAAAACACTCACAGTCTATTACAATATTATTATTACCAATACTGACACTATTATTAAAATCTATTGTTTGAAATCGTCAATAAAAAGCCGATTTGAATGATTCGATTGGCATTTAATATATTGTCTCCGTTTTCGTCACTCACTTACGCATGACAAAATAAATAATTAACTCATCAATTATCACATTCGTTCGGACAATAGTATTGGTTAGGCATGAATTAGGAAACCGGCGATGAAGGAGATTTGGAATGTGTTCGAAACGCAAAATTTTTCCACTGGGTATTATTGTTGTGATCTCCAGCCGCTTACTATTCTATAAACTACAAATTTGTTATCTCGTTCGATTTTAAGTTAATTCCTTTCACTTGGAACAAAATATACTATAAATGTAATTTACAGTATTTGGTAGTATTCAGAGTAATAAAACACATACTAAACTACTGTAAATTGTAATTGAAATAATTGAGTTAACTGTTATTACAAGCGAATATTATTAATAAATTAAATTGAAGACTTGTTGCTAACTACGTAACAACAAGAACGATAACTATCACAATGGTCACAACTAGTCACAAAAATGAAGACGGTAAAAATACAATACCTATTTAATATGGGCAATAGATATGCGAGTATGGAGCAGCGTTGGAAATTTGGAATATGACATAGGTATTTACTTTGAACTGTTCAAATTCGCGGTCAGTAGTTAGCAATCGGTTACTTAATATCCTTATAACTTTTAAATAAATTTATTATTATTTTCAAGAAGAAACATCGATAATGGATATAGACATAGGCGCCAGAGTTTAAAAAACCTAATGGGTGCCCGGCCTTGGTATCAATGCACAATTCAACTTTCTAAAATTTTAATTTTGACTCTCCAAATTGCGCCTATTGATGTCATTATTTTACTGCTTAACTAAAAATGTTTGCATTTTCTTATGGATTTTAATATTATATATAAATATTAAAATATTAAATAATACAATACAATAATATTAACAATGTTGTAAACTGAAAAATGCAATTGCATCATTGATTATAAAGTATTATAATAATTAATAACCATACAACAAAATAAATGTGTAACAAATTGAGTTTAATTATAAATAATAATAAGTTAAGCAAAAAAATTAATGTAATTTGATTGTTTACAAAAAAAAAAATGTGTTTTGACGTATTTTAGTTGAATTTATAAATGAGTTAGCTATTTGCTCAATATCTATTTCTTCATTACGATGGACATGCAATAAAGCAATATCATTAAGACGATTTTGTATCATTGTAGACCTTAAAATCAAAATCGTGTTATCTTATATTTTCTTATCAATACAATTTCTTTTCATTTACTACATTTTAAAATTAAAATTTTTTATTACAGCTAGAATTTTATTGCAATAGTCATTTTCTAAAATTGTTGAAACTTGGATATTTGGATATAAATACACGTTACAAATATCCAATATTTTAATGGGTGCCTTAGCCCCCGGGCGCCCATCTACATGGCGCCTATGGATATAGATCATGTTCGAGTCTGATTCGCATATCCGAGTTCAAGTCTTCGGCTTCGATTTGTATTCCTGGCATATCGATCATGTGTCTGCTCAAACTTAGTACTTCTATAATCTTCCCTACGTAACAATCCTATCGACTATCGATAGACATAATTTATATGTCAAATTCATAGTCGACACTACGGGACTACAGGGTCTACTATATGGTCTTAACTATTACCGACAGATTATCGGAATTAAAAATAATGCATATCTAATACAATGATCGATATATTAATAAAAGACATGTATTTTAAAATAAAACTAAAATATCGTTTTTGGATACTTTTCTGTTATCCCTACTACCTCGCCGATACCGTGACTACCGGACTACAGTTCTTTCGATTACCTGTTGCCGTCGTTGCCGACAGTTGTATTATTTTAAAATAATCCGTCGTTGTATTTATTAATTTTAAAATAATTATGAATCTGTGGAATTTACCAATAATTTTGATGACTTGGTTTTATAAATTAATAACTTTTAGACTTTTGCAACTGTAACTGTGATAATTTATTTTTATTTATTTAATATTGTATTTTGACGTTTTGTGATAATTTTGATGATTTTATATTTTATACTATAACTCTCCACTACTGTGATAATTTATGTGATTACTCATAATAAACGTTATACTAATATACATTAAAATATAAATGGCAATTCATGATGTGTATTATGTATTAAAATACGGAATATCTGGATAGTACTATAGTAGTCGAGATAACAGAATTTTGAGTCGCGGTAGTAGGGGTAACAGAAAAGTACTCGTTTTTGTTATTTTCCTGGAATGTAATGATGGGATACGGAAACGAAAAACACCAATTTTTATCATTGTTTATGATACTAAACATAATACGGCATGTCTAATATTAACTTCTAATATCAGATGTAATCGTTAATAATTTATAAGAAAAGGTTTTTAAAATATTTTATTAACATCAACAAATGAAAATTATTTTCAGGTGTTTTTTATCTATTTACTTTAATTGTCTATAATATTTCAAAATATTGTACCTATTGTGTTCGACTGAAGAAAGATTTGTACTGTATGTTTTCATCAGATAGGTATACGTTCACGCATATTATAATATGTTAAAGACATGATTAATAACATGAGCCACCATATTTCCGTTGCGGTGACATAGTACTCTATAGGTTATGAATTTATGACATTCAATAATTATTGGTAAATTTTTTTGTAATTCAATGTAAGCTTCAATATATTGTGGCAATATGGCTATCATAAAAAATATTTTTTTTAAAGAAAAAGGGAGCAATTTTTGGTGTAACATTTAACCAATGATAGTAGGTAGATATAATTAATAAATAATAGTACAATCTCAATTCTCAATAATAATAATTATTTTTCTATCTCTTAATCTTGAATCATATGTAAAAAACAAATACAAATGTTTATTAAAACTCCTTTTAAGATATGTATAGGCAATAAAATATGCAAATATTACGGTTACCTTCCTTATCAGAATTGATAATGGCAAATGTAGGGAAGTTATCTAATATCTACACAATACACAGATTACACAGGCTACAGCACCATTTTATATCGAACAAGTCGTGAATTCGTGATTTACAGACGTTTGAATTGTTGGTTTATAAATTAACTACAGCACAAAACATGTCAGAAAAGGGTGAGTAGAACATTTAATGGTTATATACTATAATACTTGTGTTTTTCGTGGCTTAAGATAATATCAGTGTATTATTTGTTCTATCTTTCTGGTCCACGTTCAACAGCAAATTTGTATTTATCAGAACTAACTTTTGTTATAAAATTTAGTATTGGAGTAAATTGACCATTTTTAAGACTTGAATTAAGAACATAAACTTAGTTCTTATGTTTTGTTTTTTTATAGTATTCATATTTTAAAGCATGATATGAACATTTTTAAATTTTAAATACTAATAATTTCCTTAAAAATTATAACATTGTAAGAAAACTAATGCAAGTTCATGGAAAATGCTCATTATTTTCAGTTTAAATATAGGTCAATTGACCCTAATACTAAAGTTAATAACTCATAGTTGTTACTGCTAAATGTAAATTTGCTATGTCGTGCATCGGTTAGAAATGTAAAACAAATAGTGCTCTTTCTTATTAAGTTTAATAAATATCAAACTGATTTTTTACCTAAAATTAAATTAATCTTTTAACTTTGTCTTAACAATTGTATGTACACTTGTTGTTTTAACTTAAGTTTTGTTAGTACCAGATTATATTCAACGATTGTTTTCAACTATTTGATTATTTTAAGAAGAGAAAATTTTACGTTTTACTATATTTTAAAAATTATTATGATTGTGATTGATTAAAATAATGCTTTTTTTTAAGATTTATATCTGACTATCTAATTGTTTTTTGTTTTTCATGTTATAACAATAGTTATATTTGTTTAAAATAAACGGTTATAAATGATAATAAATATGTTGCCAACTGGAGATTTTCATGAAGGGAAATGTTTACAATGTATATTTTGGTTTTGTACATATTATTATTATTTAGTTTAAATATTAAGAGTGAATAAAATGTGTCACTTGGTACATGAATACTCAAATATGATTCAAAAATTACCATAATTTTATAATTTTTAATGTAAACAATTATCATAATTTAATTTATTATAAATAAAGTATGAAATATATGTATTTTATATTTTCAGAGACTAAAAAAAAGGTAATGTCCCAAAAAGATTATCTAAAAAGATATCTGTCAGGTGGAAAGAAGAAAAAAGAAAAAATTAAAATTCAAAAAAGGTATTTTTTATAATATGACCAATATAATTAGCTTTATTTTTAAGTATGATTTTGCCAATATATACAGTTTAGGTGGTGCTTGTGTTAAATTTTGCATATTATACAAAAAGCTTATAATTTCATTTTTTTTTTTTTTTAATTATAAAAATCATCAATATTAATTTACTATACAAAAATGTCATATTAAAAGAAAATATATTTACTTATATTTTATTTAACTAAAAATAAAATAAATCATAAAGAAACTTAACACATGACTCAAGTGTTGAAAGAACTGTATCATTTAATTGCTCTATTCTAGTATCACAAACTAAAACAATAACATATTTAATATTATTGTAGAGTACAAATTATTGATGATAATATTGATTGTGTTGAAAATGATTATGAAACTTCCATTGGATTTGATCCAGTTGATGAATTTGCACCTCAAATAGTAGGTATCATTGATGAGAGACCTGAAGACGTTAAAACATTGGACACATACAAAAATAAAAATCGGTGGAAACGAGTTGGTGGAGATAGTGATATTGAAGAAGATTCTACTAAAATTGATATTGATCAAGTCAAAAATTATGTTCAAAAAATAAATAAATCTACTTTAAATGATCTAATAAAAGAGGTTAGTAATGACTAATGAGGTCACTAAGTAGAGTGCAGATTTTTATAGAATCACTTATTTTTTTCCTTTTCATTTTTTTTATATTTTTGTCAGTTATCTTCACGAATCATAATAATTTAAATCTAATGATGAAATATTTTTTGCATATTTCTTAATATTTAATGATTATTGCATATTTTTGTATATTTTTACAAAATTAGAAATGTATTGCATATTAAAACAAACATTTAAAAAGAAAAATGTATAAAATAATATTTTATCAAGTAGAAATATTAAAAATAACTATTGACATTAAATAATAACCAGAGTGCAAATTTATATGCATTTGTTTATTACTTTATTTTTTACTTTTTTGGATTTTTGTCAGTTATCTTCATAAATCATAACAATTTGAATCTAATAATGTTATATTTTTTTACATATATCTGAATATTTTTACAAAATTTTAAATAAATTGCATTTTAAAGCAAGAATTTTTCATATACTTAGTATATTTAAGTAATTAATTATTAAAAGTTGTTTAATTTGTAAATTTTATATAAATAAAAAAAAAATTTCTTGCATATTTGTTGCATATTTTTATTATTTTTACTGCATATTATATGGCATATTTTGGTACTTTTTATTGCATAAAATCCGTGCTCTACTTATAAGTAATAAGTTTAATCACAAATTAGATATGTTTAAATTTTAAAACATTATCCTAAATTTTTAGAAAAATGAAGAATCAATAGAAAATGATATGCCGATTAGACGTGACCGAAAAACTGGTAAGAAACGAGATCTCAAAAAAGAAAGAGAAGAAGAAAAAAAGAAAGAAGAAATATTAAACGAGCATAAAGCTAAATATGCTATTTGGGGAAAAGGGTAACTGATAAATTTATACATTATAAATAATTATTGATGAAGTTTTACTTATTAAATTTAAATACACTTTTAATTTTAATTATTTTGATTGAAGATAATTAGGATTTGATTTCTTTATGATCTAATTGATTTATACAGATTGGGTACTTAGATATCTTGTATATTATATGCTTTTAGAGTAAAACAAGTTAAGGATGCTCAAGAAAAATACGAGTCTGATCTACATGAAATGCAAAAACCATTAGCGAGGTATGCAGATGATCAAGATCTGGATGATTTGTTGAAGTCCAAGATCAGAGATGGAGATCCAATGCTCGAATATATCAGTAAAAATAAAGGATCGGGTGAAGATTCTCCTGATGGTGTGAGACATGGTAATTCTTAATTTTTAGATTTTAAATTAATGAGGCTAAGTCAATACCCCAAAAAGTTTTAAGTACGCTTTAAATAAATAATATCATGAAAAATTAAATTCAGGTAATTCTTTTCTTTAAGTTATTATTTTGTTTACTTATCATTAAATTGTATAAATCTATAAAATAATATTTTTAACAATGCATATTTAAGGATAAACCCAATTATATTATTACTTGCTATAATTTAAAATACATATTTACAAGATTATTTATTTAATGTTAGATACGCACTGTTTCAAAAAACAGTTTAAAAAAAATAAAAATAATTTAAATAATTATTAACATTATTCATTGTTAAATAATTGTTAGTTATTACTTAACGTTTTTAAAAAAAACTTATTTTTTTTAAAGTTCTTTACACATTTGTATGAAATTTCATATTCTGCAGTAGTATATTATTTTAAGTATTAAATAATCATTAAAGCATTATTCGATCTGTAAAAATCAAATTTCAGGCTACTAGTTTATTAGTTATTACTGTTATTAGTATTTGTAGTTAAATTGAGTTGAGTAGTGGAAAAAATATTTTGCTGGGTATCACTGTATTATTCCACTCCATCAATCTAAATTTTAAATACTTATTTTAAAAACTATCCATCCAAAATCTAACTTTTATATATCATATTATATAAAAAAAAATATTCTACTGAAGAATGAAATTGAGAATGTAAAAACAAAAAAATCAGAACTAATTTTTTTTTTTATGTATGTATAGAAGTAAGAGAGTTTCGAGGTTTTTGTCCACCAAATAGATTTGGCATACGTCCAGGATTTGCATGGGATGGTGTAGATAGATCTAATGGTTATGAACAGAAATGGTTACTGCAACTAAATTCTCAGAAAGCTGTGGAGGATGAAGCATATAAATGGAGCTGTTCTGACATGTGAATAAATATGTATATATTTATATATCTGTATTATGAGTTACTAACTGTAATTATTACCCATAATAATTTTATGTTTATGTTTACAATTAAATAAAATTATATTTGGCTTCTAATACATTTCTCAAACTATTATTTTTAACAAGCGAGATTCTTAAACTGATTCAAAGATCAAACATTTTAAAAAATATTTGTAATTGTGAAAAACTTTAATAAGCTTACAAAACAATTTACTAAGCAATAAAATCTAGTTTATTAAAACAGAAAATTTAATAATTTAAATGGTTATTTTACTTGCTATCTTCTATTTTTTATCATAAGAAATATATTAACTATTTTGTTTAAATCAATTTTGTTTGCATCATATTTTTCTAATATTACTATTGGTTATTCATAGTTGACATTGCTCACTGGCCGCAGACTAAATTTTTGTTAATTTATTGAAAATATATAATATTGTTTATGGTTAAAATAAATACAATAAATTGGACGATGACAGTAGTATTTGTAATGGAATTTGTATATTAATATACAAAATTACATAATATATAAAATAAAATATTTTCAACACTAATTATACCATATTTATTTTTTTATTATAATTCATATTGTTAATTGATTTTTATTCGGGTTGTCAATGTCTATAAGGGATTCAAATTAAATTACCTAATTGAACTATAAATACTTTTTTTTAATTGTAGTAATAATATTATTTGTTTTATATTTTTATTAAAAGTATGAATTATATTTAGTAATTTTAAACAAATTTTTATACTAAATATTATATACTATAAATTTGTCATACGCTTTACTTACTGTAGTAATTTGCAATAGAAATGTGTTAAATTTGAATTCAATCATATATTATGATAGGTATACAAAATGTGTTTTTGAACATAGATAATCTGCTAGTTGTATCACTACATTCATTTCATGATATTTTTGATATTGCTATTAAAGTAATTTATTTTATTGTAAGTTTTGATTTAATTTTTGGTGTAAACATTGCATTTATTTTTATTTTAATATTATGAAAATGTATATATTATTATAATTATATTATTTCATTAAGTTTTGTGTCAATACTACCATTACCATTCACCTTACCATAAAACAATGTGAATAGGATTTATTTTAAGTTTCCATGAATAATGTTTTTAAATTATGACAAATAAATTTGAATTTTAAATGTCTGTAAAAAATAATTATGTTTTTATTAACATTTATAAAAAGAAAAAGAAAAAAAATTATAAATTTAAAATGCCTTCAGATAATTCAAAAAGAGTAAAAATATTTTGATTGAATACTATGTGTAGAAATCACAAATATAGATATTGAATTAAAATCTTAAGCTCTAAGGTTATTCATTTTTAAGTTACCTACGCCCAAAAACAAAATCGATTTTCTTAAAAACTAGTTTTGTGTAAAAATCACTGTGTTCCTTTAATTTTTTATTTGTTATTCCCGATAATTTCGAAAGGTACAGAAAAAGTGTTGAGAATAATAGATGAATTTAAAAATCACGCTATTACATTCCTCTACGCGTTCCGGTGCTGTCGAGGTAATTATGTTTATTTATTCTAGAATTTGATCAAATTTACCATACTCGTACAATACAATATTGTACGTAAAATTTATAAATATTATGTTATAAACAACGTATGTGCTCTACCCGACAAAGATTTATTACACTCGGTATGCGGTGTACAAGCGGTTGCTTATATACCTGAACACCGATACAGCAAGAATAATGGTTAATTTTGTATCTGCAAGTAACCTATACATACGTAGCAGCCAATAGACATACATTCACATACGACTCAAACGAAAGCAAACGACTGGGTAACTAAAAAGTAAATTGGGTTGTGCCCAAGACCTGCAAAGTCGTACACAACTGTGTAGAAATATACACAGTATTATTTATTAGTTAATGTACATAACATAACAGGTACATAGCACAACAACAACAGTTGGTCGTACATTTTTGAACGTGACACCCACGCGATGTACGTATATCATAACAACGTGAAATTTACTTCCACGACGGTCTGGTCGCGTTGACCAACGACAGCGATGACGGCCGCAAATTGTTTTTGGTTTTCGCGTCAGTCGCTCTCTGCGCGTGTTCGAACGACTTGCGATTGTTTAAGGCAATCGTCTTCGTAGTCGGTGGCCAATAATTGTGGACCGAGTGGACCGACAGCTTGTTCAAGTTGAACATCCGCCGCAACAGCTGCGTCTTATTGGACTTGACGGACAGGGGCCAGCGCGAATTACAGCCGCCACCGACCGATGTGATGACAGTCAACGATCGGCGTCCCGATGTCTGCGTTCGTTTATCGGAACGTGATCGGCATACGACCGCCTGCAACTCTGCCGTCTTCCCCTCTTCCTCGTCTTCCTCCGTCACCGCCGCTGCCGACGTGACGTCGCCGTCCGTCGAGGAGTCGCTGTGGAAGCCGTTTAACATAACCAGGAAAGGACGAATTTTGATACCGGCTGGCACCGGGTTGGCCTTTCGATAATTCCTATTAATCGCACGACCGTGTTTGTTCAGCATACTATGAAACTGATTCATCTGAACGCGTCGAAACGTCGTACATACGCGTGTAGTAGGTAGGTACATGATAATAATAAAAATCATGCTTTTAAAATATTTTAATTTTTTATGAGTTCTTAACAGGTGTATAGGAGGTAGGTACTAGGTACTAAGATACATATTGTAAAATATATTAAAGTAGGCACAGCGACTGACTCAGTTTCGCAAACGAAGATGGCCGATGGGTTCAGGAGTGTTAGTCAACACTCCTATAAAGATGGAGGGAGGAGTGATGAGTGGCTAGTGGCAGGGTAATTTATTTGTGGATTATTTCATTTGAAGTTGACCTAATAATTATTATGATTGTTGACTGTTGTTAATGTAACAGAATTGATTTTTAAATAATTAATAGGTAATGGGTGTGTTATAATAAATGCTGACACCCTTTATACAGGACATCTACAACGCGAGGTTTTGTTTGAATGTGTTCCAAACCTTTTTATAATGTTTTTGGTAGGGAGATAGCCGGAAGGCACATTCCAAAAAAAATGACTTTAATAGGTACACTAGGACTTAAAGATAATTTTTTTTTAAGTGTGTCATCTTTAAAACGATTTAAATTTTCCTCTTTCGAATCTGATAGTGGATAAATAAGTACTAGAAGATATTTACCTTTATATTATATATTTCATTTAGATATTTCATTATTCAAAATTAAGTAGTCATTTCGTTGTTCCTACTTAAATCATAATATTATTTCCTATTTTTAAAGAAAGGTGTGGCTGATGACACGACCTACTTATATAACACATTTACTTATAATTTTTAGTACTTTTCTTATTCGACTATGTTTTTTTTTTAAATATATTGAACTTAAGTTTATAATATAAACCTATTTATTCATATAATGGGTACCTGTTCTCGATTTACTTCGCTTGTTTTAGTGAAAACTATCCACTGAGTTACACTACACTCACATCCGCGTTTATCGATTTTGCCAGAATACGTAAAGTACTCGACAGGTTGATTATGAATCACATGGCTTAACGGAAAAACGGGTATTCTAGACGTTTGTCCAGACGTTCGTACACTATTCAAATAAGTAGTTATGTGATTAATGCCTGGGTGTTGGTTATCTGTGACCTATGAAATATCAAATACTTATATATTATAATTTTCAAATCACATAATATATTAATCTATTAATTATTAATATTAAACATGTAATATTGGTAAATAACTACTGAATACAGTTAATAATTAAGATTATGCTAGGGTAGTTGCATTCGATGTAATAAATTCAAATATGTATAATAAATCAGTAAGTATAAGTAGGTATTTAGGAATCGGACCATAGACGCCTAATATTAACTACTTAGATACCTATTAATTTTCTGTTAAGTAATCATGTAAAATCAATTTTCCCACGACCTAGCCACATAAATCCACAGAAATATGGCTATACGTATATTTATATATTATATATAATTCAAACACAATTTTCATTATTAAGGTGACTTATACGATATTCAGTGGTAGATTATAGGTATAAATATATAATTAACAGTGCTTTACATAATTTAATCGAACTGTGTAGTAATTATTAATTTATACTGTTTTACTATTATTATATTCATTATTAGTTAATGTTATTACATATTAACATAATATGCTATATCCTTAGTAAATACCTATATTTTATATTATAATATATTACTAAGTGCTTGGAAAGTCTCTTATAAATCAATAAATCACAAGGTAACCTATCAACAAAAATACGAGTATCTATCTAATACACAGTTACACTTGTGCAGATTGTATAGATTTAGTACTTTTTACAAACACTGGTCGTATTTATAAAGATAAATAAGGAACAAATTGGGAAAATAACATAATTTGTTTTTATAAACATGATAACATTTAGTTCAATAATATTTTGAAAATTAATTTTGTATACATTTTAAATTTATTTGAATTGTTGAAGTATTTAAAAGTTTACAAAATAATACATATATACACAGCAGTAGTGGCCTGTGTTATAATACCTAGTAAATAGGTAACAGAAATTTTAGTCAACACATTATGCTAAGGGTATCTATTTTTATATTTAAAACACAATGATTACAACATAATGCAGATGGATTGATGGACGTTTCGTCAAACCATCTTTATATTCAACAATTTCACAATAAATTGTATTATAAATTTATTAATGTATAAATTCGAGGTCGAGGACATTTACATTATTTACAAATTCAAAGTGTTGTTTGTGAAGAATTATAAAAAAAAAACAATTAGTATTTATTATTTTTTAACATAATATCAATATATTTTGTGGTGTAATTTTTATAAAAATTGTTTATAATATTAAAATTTAAATTCTACCCCAGGCGTGTGCCTTTGTCGTCTACCCTTTGACCTGGGCCTACACAAATATAACTCAATATTATGTTATAATTATTTTATCGTAATAATTTCGTATGTATCTGGGTGATTAATGAAGAGTGGTTGTTTATCGGTTATCTATATTCATTACCTATTTTATTATCTCATTCGTAGACTTGAATCGTCAGACTGCTTCTACCGCTCAAACTATCACAAACTAAACAAGAATATCTATGATATAAATACTCAAACAAAAAATGAAAAAATGGATGATGATACTAGGACACTCGGGAAAGTATTTGAAAAAAACTTTGTAAAAATAAATCGTAAAATAGTTCAATAGTGTCGTCAGAAACTTAGTACATAAAAAAGGCCTGTATTTTTTTTTTATATAATATATAATATAAGGATGAATAATTATACTTTAATTCAAAACTGAGCACTCGCTAAAGAATATAATATAAAAAACAACTTGCATTATATTTATATCAATATAGGAAGGTATGTCCTTATTCAGTACCTATATTTACTTACGTCAAATAAATATGCCAATGTTACAATACCATTTTTTACTGATTCAGCTTCAAAAATTGTCTGACACGACCCTTTGAAAAATATTAGATGCATTTCCAACTCGTGTCTATAAAAGAAAAAAGTATGTTAATAATGCTTTTAAATTTCACCATAACGTGGATAGAGAAAAAACTAGTCTAGGGCTCATACTTAATACCAGCTACTTAACTTAACTTATCATTTATTAGAACATTTAATGTTATATTGTTATATGTATTTCAATTACGTACAACTGTCAACAGTGTCAACTGTATCATGGATATAGAACTATGACGTAGACATGATACTCTATAGCAGGGATGTCAACCTTTTATGAAAATTAGACCACATCATATGAGTAGGAGTTGTTGTGAGCCACATACATTTTAATAATAATAGGTACATTTAAATTTAATGATTGTAATACAACAATACATTTTTTATAATTTTACCATAGCGAATAATAAATAGAAATATTTTTACAATCTATTAAATTCTAATTATAATTACAGGAAATATATATTGTTAATTTATAACAAAAAAATTAATTTAAATAATATAATATTTTATCAAAATCGGCTCGAGCTGATCGACTAAATCACCCATATCGATAATTAATGTTGGCTCCACATCCGTGCTATTAGATCCAATAAATGTAAAACTTTCATACAATTTTAAACAAGGTTGGGCAGTATCTTCGATACAGGTATTTAAGATATACATCTTACATATAATTGTATCTTTTATATCGATATAATTATATGAAGTATCGAGTATCTAGTATATTGATACTCCAAATCCCAGTATCTAGTATCGCTATACTGATTGAGTAGGTATCTTGCCCATCCTTGACTATGACACACCACACATACACGTTGAACGAGATTTAACTTTACTTATTGCCTATGTATTGATATTAAGTTATTACATTTTGTGGTCTATATTAATTAATTAATATAAATATTGCCTATTATACAACCTACATAATTGTGTATAAATAAAATTTAAAAAAAAATCTTATGACTATTTGTTTTAATGTATCGAGTATTGGATATTGAGAATCTAAATATTTAAAATGTAAATATCCAGTATCGAATATCTAAATACTTAAAAAGTATCGAGTATCTAGTTCTAATATCTTGATTCTCAATACTCAAAATCCAAGTATCTAAAACCTAGTATCGCGATACTGATCTTTGAGTATCTTGCCCATCCCTGTTTTTTAAATTAATTTGATTTTTAATATTTTGTAGTTTTATATACTTAAATAATTTTTTTTCACAATATTAATATAGTATACACAATTAATTGATGGTTTATAAACTATCGAAGTGAAGGCCGCATCAATATCTACTGCGAGTCGTGGGATGGACATTCCTGCTCTACAGGCTTTAAATAATTATCGATTATACATTTATACACGTTCAATGTTCATTGTTACACAGTAGTCAGTAATACATATTGCATTGATAGACATAACTTAATGGATCGTTTGTGTAATATTACCACCTTTCTCTGTGATATAAACTTAGATGCTTGGACATGCTATACACTGGTAACTTAAGTTAAAATATCGGTACCCAGCAGTTAGTACCACCTAGGTACAGCTTTTATTATTTTTAAATATTTACTAATTTATTAGGTAAACGGAAGACCTAATAAGGGTCTTGTTCGTATCTATATTATTAGGAGTTATATTTAGAAAATGTGCAATATCATTTTCGCTGCTCATGGCCGCTTACTTGTGGTCTTATTGTGTTAATCGTAAATACCTAATAATATTAATTAGTTTATAATTGTTCTGGTACCGAGATTATCTGTCACACACTGAAGGCCCACACATATCAATATCGCCATTAAGTTATTTTGCTTAAAATAATCTTTACAAGAAAATTCATTTTTTTATTGTTAGATATAGTGTGATTTTCTACAAGACGGATTGGACTTTAACACTTAAATTGCTTAAAATAAAAATAAAATAAAAACTTGCAAAAATTGATTATATTTAAAATCATATAACATGGTTTAGAAATATAATTTTGAAAATCGATGTCTAATTTGCACTAAAAGAAATATTTCTCTTTCAAAAAAATAAAATAAATAAGATCGACTGTATTGGATTATTTTATGAATAAAAGTTGCACATAATCCTGTAAAGAGTGTAAAGCATGTTTTTAAGCACAAAAACAGGCCTATTCAACCCTTAATGTGTCTATATTATAATATCAAATACCTAGATAGGCTAATACTAGCCATCAAGGTAGATTCTTTCTTATACTATATTCACTATAGGTGGGCACTTATATTGGCGATGAACATATTATATTATTATGTCAATATCCATTACCTATCTTAATTATTCTATTATGTAAATCATACTTGCCAGGGCTCAACTGGTTACAAAACTCACTACAAAACTATATTTTATATTAAATTAGTAATGTTATTGTTACCTATATTGTGATAAATTTTAATTACAAATATTGAAATATATTATAATGATGTTATTTTCGAATTTGATAATTTTATGACGGTTCCCATGCACAATCATTCAATATAATCAGATTTTTATGACTCAACTAGTCAAGTAATAAAAATCAAATGTGTCATAAATCAAATCGTAAAAAATGATGCGTAACAATTACCGCGGTTATCTATATGGTAATGAATAATGATTATGCATCAATGCAGTCACGATTTATGAAGTGGCATTTACAATCTTGAATGGTCGAGTATGAACCAATTTATACAGAACAATAATTGTTTAGAATAATGCTTATGAGTTTATGACAATCATCGATAGATTATTTGTGTGTGGTAATTGTGTATATTATGTATGTTGTATGTAAGGGGAAATAGGAAAATTTGTAAACCCTACTCCTTCGTTAATAAAAATTGCGCCTGATACTTGCCCTCGACCATTGACGATGTGTTCATTAATTACTTCATCACCATCACTGTCCGTCCAGTGGAAATGCAAATGAGAAAAATTATACTTCTCTTCTAGGTTGGCACCTTCGATGCACGGCTGTCGATCGGCAGCCCATAGACCATTCAACGTTACTATATATATTATAATGATGCATGTTTTACATGACAAAACCATGTGTACAACACGAATAATTAGACAATCTAAACATTACTACAAACAATAACTGATATAAAATATATTCATATAAATTCTATTAATGTTTAAAAAGTTTATTTAGCAAATTAGAATAAGTGTATTAAAATTTGAAAAATAATCACTTTTAATTTAGATTCTAAACAGAGTGATGAAATCAAACAATGATTTTATAATGATAAGTATTTTTTTTTTTATGTTCATCACCACCTTTTAGAGCAGTAAATATGTGTAAATCTTCAACCTTCAACCAACGTTTTAAAATTCCCGTTATATTTTTTAATAATAAAATTGTGAAAAACAAATTATTACGTAAGCCAATATAATTTTTTGTTTTGATATAAACTATAATTAAAAAGTTAATAACCACAGATAGGTACTTGCAATTTTCGTCAAATGTTTATATTAGCATTTTCTATGTAGGTACCTTACTTATGTCGTATGGAATAGATTTCAATAATAATTAAAAAACTTTGATTCTTTGTTAACTGTTATTATAGGCACTTAAAATGTTTAATTTATTTTTTCTATAAATGTCAATAATTTATCAAAAATTTCGGCAATAAAAATTTTTTCAAAAAATGTTAATGATACTGAAACTAAAAAAAGTTAGAATTTCGTCATAGTTTAAAAAGTATGAACTGTAGAAACTTGAAACAATCTATTGACACCTAAATTAACATTCTCTACGTTCAACGCAATTTTAAAAAATATTAAAATAAACTAATTATTAATTTTAAGTTATAAAATTATTGAATTTATTTAGTTTTAATTATTAATAAAAATATTTAGGCTAGATTAATAATTGAACTTGATCCCACATAAGTTGTTTTTATCTAAAAATTCAAACATATTAAAAATACATAGTCATAATTTTTTTATACCAAAGCATTTCAAGTTTTGAAAAAAATTACAACAATTTATAAATTATTTGTAATTAAACATTTATAAAAAAAATTTTCAGGTAAAGCTTTAAAATTTAATACAAAATTATTAGTTTTTTGAACTTTTTTCTGAAGTCCAACAAATTTAAAAATCTGTGAAGATGGTTTTTTTTTTTTTTATAATTACCTAATTTAAATCCTAATTTGGATTAAATTTGACGTTTTAAAAGATTAAGGATTTTAGTTATTTAGTTGTAATTTAAAATTGTTTTTTTTGAGGATATTTTCAAAATTATAATATTGATTTAAATCTATTATCTAAACCTATTCATATCGTTCTATAATACCTAAATACCTAGGTATTAATTCAAAAATTTATATTTAATAATAATAATAATATAATATGATATAAATATTATATAGATACTATTATAATAATAATTATTAATAATAAAATAAATGTAACGTTTTAGATAAAAATTAATTAAATTTACCTATAAGGTACTATAATAGTAAAATAAATTACTATGAAAAAATATATTTAGTAGGAAGGTAATATAGGTTGACGGTCAGTCTTCGCTCAGAATCATTTTTCATATAATATGATTTATCATTGAATTAAAATTTAATACATTCATTACAGTAACTTACTAAATAATTATGTATATAAGCTATAAAACCTATTGTATACTGTTTAACAGAGCGATGCCGTTTTTTGTTAATATCGAAAATGTCTAAAATTTGTAACAACAAATCCCTAATAATATATATATATATAAAGAGATTATATATACAAGTTGATTTTTTTATCATTAAACAATTATTATTTCAAAATTATATTACTTTTCTTTTTTTTCAGTACAAATAAAACAACATTTAAAAAAAAGTTATGTTTTTTATCGCTATCATTTTTTTAAATGACAACAAACATTTTTAATTTCATTTTCTAAAGTAGAATATTTTTTGGAGTATTTAAATACATAAAAATCGAGATTCCTGTATAATATACATTAAAAATTAAAACTCTGAAAATTATAGTCATCTTTATAATATTTCTTAGTTTTGTGAATTGTGATTGTAACCTTACTTGTTAGTCCATTGTTTTGGAGCCGAATTTTTTTAGGCAATACATCAAAATATCGAAATTCTAAAATCGGCATTGGTACCACAATCAAATCGTCGGTGTTAACGGCTAGCGGCGACATGAGTATATCGTCAACGTCTCTCTTGCACATTTCCCACATTCTTCGTAATTGTAATGATTCGTTTATGTATATGGACAATATATGTAGTAGGTCGTATGGTAACAATAATGTTGTACATGCGTGTTGAACAAAAATAAATTGCTTAGCTATATAAATCAAACTAGCAGGTGTAACTGTGCAAGTGAGATTTGTAAGCAGATTTGTATGTTAAACACTGTTGACAATCGGTTTATTGTAAATTAATTTTATTTGATTAACAAAATTATTAAATTAAATAAGAGTAAATTATACATAAATAATTTACTCTTATTTCAATTTGATAAACATGAACTAAGTATAATTCATTTTAAAAATTAACTTTCCCGTTACTGTATATCACACACAATATTTTACCATATCTTGTTTTTTATTATTATTATAATTAAAGTTAAATAAAATAAATTAATTTTTACTCTGAATACATTATTCAATACTTTTGACCAGAAAAATAACATCGTAAACTTTAAATTTATAACAACAAGTAAAGATTTTCTGTTATTAATTTATCACTACATCATACAATTTTTGAAATATTTTAGTTTTGATGTTTACCTCTAATGAACATGTGTTGTATAAATTGTTATACGATTATGTGATCCAAAGCATGAAGATTTAAGTTAATACTTTTCAAGTCATAACATATTATAACTAAAGAGTTCAATAATTAAACAAAACAAACCTCTGTTAGTTAATAAACAAATTAAAAATATAATAATACGTATTTTTAAGTAGCCAACAACATTTATATTCAAGAACCTTTGAAATCTTGCTATTTTAAAAAATTTATAAATTAAATCCCATGGTATCTTAGGTTTATATCAACTAGTCAAGGATATGATTGGCATAGTGACTCCACAATGCTTCTCTACTGCCCACTATGTTTAGATGCAACGAGGAAACCGCACGAATCATGAAGCAATAACTCATCATATTTGTATTATTAATTGTGCATTTATTAATAGAAGCTTTTATACTAACTAAATTTTCAAAATTGTGGAACAAACTTATAACTTTTGTTTATCTAATTATAAATATCATAAAAATTATTTATAATTTATACTTGTTATTATAAATGTTGTCTAGAAATACTTCTTTGTTGAAAATCAAAGGAGATAATTTATATACAAAAATAATTCTTGAAATAATCTATAATAATTTAAATGAATATAATGTGTAAAATATATATTATATAATTTTGAATAAAAATCGATTAAAATTAATTCTCTAAATCATAAGTAATAAATCCTAAAAAGTTTAATTATAGGTAGTCTATTTTTATCTATGTCTTGAAAATTTTATTCTTACCGAGATTAATCAGTATCAAGTTTTTATTAAAACAATTTAAAATTTTTTTCAGTTACCAAATGACTAACATAAACGAAAGAAACTGTTACATTATTCCGTTTACTAACCTTCATCATTTTTAATAGTTCCAAAAAAGACAATTTTAAACTTCATTCGAGATTGAAATCGATTATTTAAAATAAAATTTGAAATAAAAATAAAGCAAAAAACGTCATAACATTCACAACACAGGTAAATACTTACCATGCATTGTAGATCAATAACAGTGAAGATTTCCTTACTTTAGATTAACCAAATTAATCCAAAATTCATTTTTTATAGTTCCAAAATATCTCTCAAAAACCTAAAATAATAAATGACTTTGTGTAAATTTACCTTAAATTTATTTAATTAAAATAAAAGAGTAGTAAATGGTATTAAAGATATGTAAAAAGATGATTTTATTTATATATATATATCATCATAATAGGTATATATTATATAAACAATACCGAAAAGATTTAATTTATTTTGTGGCTATATTATTAATTAACAGACACTAGTTCAGTTATTGGTTAAGCGCTTCAATTCTAAATCTGATGTATATTTTAGTTTCATCTGGTGTATATTGAGTGTTTGAGACGTTTGAGTCCATTTTTAATCACTTCACTTTTGTTATAAATTAAAGTTTACAATTATTACCAAAACCATAAATTAAGTTTATATACCTATATTAAGGTATGTAACATAAAATATAAATCAGTCGCGTAGTACCACAAAGGCACAAAATTCTAAAGTATCTATTATTATTTAGGTAGGTATAACATTTGTTGTTGTGATTTATCATGAAAAAAATAATGGAATTAGGTAGGTAGTAAAAACTGTTGTTATTGAATATAGTAAATAAACTACATGGTTCTAGATTTGATCAGATATGGTCACAACAATAATTAACATGAATCTGATAAATAATGGCTTACGTAAGTCATTACTCATTAGATGTATTAGTTTTGAGTACATATTTCAAACATCCTAAATTCCTAATACAAACAATAATGCTTTGCAGCGGGATTAATTCGAACATTAATTAATGAATTCGGGTAATATTCTTTTTAAAATTATCGACAATCACTTAACGATATCGCATTTCGCCACTAATTATGATAATTTTGTATTTAATTTTTACGTTCCTTACCTTATATCCTTATATGGAGTATCTATGATCCTACCTATAAATAAGATGTTTTATATAATTAATAAAAATATTTTTAGTAGCAAATTTAACTTTTGCCAACTTTTGTATGACAGTTGAATAGTAGGTAAGCAAGGATTGACTTTACCAAGGAATATTAAATTTGGTTTTTGCACTTGTTTTTTTAAGTGAAATTTTAAGACTGAAAAAATTAAAATTAATATTTTGATAATTTTTTTTTAATGTACCTATTTTGAATTTAAGAATAAAAAATTTCTTGAATTTTTCACTTTTAATTTATAACTATTTTAGGCCTACAACAATATTTGCAATTTGTAATGTTTATACATTATAAATTATAATATAATTGCATTATAATAATTTAAGTGTATCATTAATGTATTTTTTTTATTTTTTTTTTTTTGAAACATTACAGCACATCATTAATAATGTAATAATACGTATTATTTTATGATATTGACACAGCTATTTTATAATATTTATGTTATGATTATTTAATATAATATTATAATTTTATCACCAGCTGATAACCAGAAAATGCCGAAACTGATAACACTATTTGGTTTCATATGATATGGTATCTTTTTGGCATCATCAGTAGTTAAGTAGTTGTTAAATAAATTGTTTTACAATACCGAGTTTTAGATTTTTACTTATTAAATAACCATAACGTCTATTTGAAAACTAATTATTAGATTTCCTGTATTGAATATTAGTAATTCCATACAATTTAGGTAAGAAAACATCATTATGTTTTAAGCTTGTTTATACATTTCATATAGATATAGTATTTCAATTTTTTACACTGTGCAATAAAGGTTATCAGTAATAAGCTAATTATTTATGTAGGTAATCAATCATTTTACTATATACTAATATGATTAATATAAACATAGTGTTAGTTATTTAATATTAATAACTATTTAAAATAGTTAGTTATATGTTCATAGAATAGTGTAAGTTGCTTTAATATTATTGTTTGAATACCGATTAATTTTAATGATATTTTAGAATATTAGTATTATTATTGGTTTGTGTCGTTTATTTATTTATTTTTGAAAACTGTATAATATTACCGCAATATATCAAAGTAATTATCTCATTTTTCAATTTTTAATACTGATAATAAATAAGGCAATATTACATATATATAATAGATTATTATTGTAAATATTTTTGATTTTATGATACAATTTTTTGTAAAATTAATTATTGCTTGCCTAGGTTAGAAGAGTTAGAAGATGAAGTTATTTGTCCCTAAAACAAAGTGGATGTGAACTACAGCTAACCATGTATTCTGATGACACTGTGTATGTTGGCTTATTGGTCTTATCATTTTTATTTAGCTTTTTATTTAGAAAAGTTAAACACAAAAATGTTAAACAATGGATATCAACTATTTATGGAGCAATAATTGTACTAACAGTTTCCGGTTTACATATTGTCCATCCAATAATTTGCACACTAGTCAATTCAATTTTAATAAAAATTGATAAAAGGTATGATTTCATTAATTATATATACATTTTTTAGAATTAAATCAATTACTTAAATAACTCAATAATATGATAAATTCACAATATTATTGAGGTAGTTTATAAAATTGTTATAAAAGGTGGTTTGTTTTACTCAATTTTGTTTACTATATTACCACTTGGACTTTGTCTTTCAAACACCATTGTCATTTAAAAATAATTCATTTTATTTAAACTTATACATTTTTGCTCTATATTATGGTGTACAAATGTAATTTATCAAAAAAAAAAAAAAAAATTGTATTGATTATTAATTAGAAGACTTTATTATTATTTTACAATTTCTTTTTTAAAGAATGCAAAAATATTGTATTTAAGAGAACACTACAACCACATTTTTTGTTTCTGTCTTACAAGTGTGTAACATAGCAAATCTACACTCAGCAATTCATATTTAGCTTCATCAGTTTTAATATTAAAATGAATCAAACTTTTATGAAACTTATGTTAAGTATTTAATCTCTATTTGTTGGTAAATTATGGTTATGAAACCATAATAATTTAGCTTTTGAGTGAATTATGTCCATTTTTAAACTACACTATTTTATATACATAAAACTTGATAAAAAATTGAAATATTGTAAAAAATCTATGCGCAAATATAGATAAAGTTCTTAACATAAGGTTTCATACTACATTAATTCATTATAATATTTAGCAAATAAAGTAAAATATGAACCACTGAATACAAATTAACTCTGTTATGCACTTGTACAACGGAGACCATTAATTCAGGTGTAGCGTCCTCTTAATTTGAATATTTCATGGATAGCCTTAAGTTACAATTTTATTATAATCAGTGATTAACAGTTTATTTCTTTTTTATATGTACATTAACTATTAAAAATTAAATTATTAATTGTTATTGACAACTAATGAGGTCGTCAGAGATAGTCTTGTTCTACTACTTATTATTTATTAGACATCAATAATAAAAATATTAAATAACCAATTGAAAATTAATACTTTCTTTATAAAATAAAATATAATTGAGAATAATATATAATTATTGAATATTGTAAGTACTCAAAAAACTTTTATTTTAAATTTAAATTTTGTATACTTGTTTTTTAGTTCAAACTATTTTGTGAAATCAATTTACCAAACTCCCTTTATCATGACACTAGTATAAAGTATTTTTATTAATTTTATCAGTTATCAATATCAGTAATATTCATATTTAACTTCTATTTTATAATTTTGTTGAATAAAATAAAATAATTTTTAATTGGTTTACTTATACAGTTGTACAAACAGTGCTAGATAAAGCTTGATTTGAAAAAATCTTAATTGGCTTGATCAATATTAGGAAAATATGAAAGTATAAAAAATATGTATAAAATTATTGATTAAAATTAAATGAAAATTAATTTACATAAATAAATATACTTATTTTGTATGTTTTTTAAGTTAGTTTAATTTTACATTTTTCATAAGAAAATAATTACTAAAGAATTGTACTAAAATATATTTTAGCAGTTCTAATTGTTAATACATGTTCAGTTTATTTTATTGTTCAATATTATGTTTAGAAAAGATATATAGTTGTATGAGAATGTTAATATGTTATACATACTTTATTCTTTACCTAGTCACATTTAAAAAGAATTTATTTTTATTTTAGGCATTGTCATGTATTAAGTTTCTTATTTACATTTGGATATTTGATATTCTTTCGAATGACAACATATTTTGGAATACCATACCCACCAGCTCATACTAATTTGATACAAATGATGCTTACTCTAAAGGTATATAAAGAAATTATGTGTATAACTAATAATTTTTAAAATTAAGAATCTTCAATAATAGTTATTATTTGTAAGGATATTTTTTAAGATAATTTTAAATTAGTGTTTTTTAACATTATTTCTCCATTTTACATTTGAATGCTTGTTTTTTTTTTAAACACAATATTTTTATGAATTTTTTAAATTTTTATGTTGTTTTTATATATATTTATTTGAAAACTTATAACTTATTTTATTTTAATAGCTTGTTGGTCTTTCATTTGAAGTCCATGACAGTTATTTAATTAAATTGAAACAAAAGGATACAAAATGTGATGCTGAAAAAAAATTTAAAATGATTTGTCAACCTAGTATTATAGAAGTCTTTCATTATGCATTTTGTTATGTAGGCATTTTAACAGGTAATTATTAAACTGGTATATAAATTGATTTTAAGAATTATGTTTATCTGTTTTAAAATACTTTGTATTATAGGACCATATTTTAAGTACCGTACTTATTGGGATTTATTTAATAATAATTATTGGAGAAAAGCTACGTACATTAATTTATTGGTTAAAAAAATACGTATAATCCCAACTTTAATTATTTGTTATTTGGCAACTTCTTGGTTATTTCCATTAAGTGTAAGTAAATTATTATTTTATAAATTTAATTTTTGTATTTAGTACAAATATAAACAATTATTTTTTTATAGCTGTGATGTAATTAATAATAATGACAAATTTTATTGGTATCTTATTTTAAAAATACATTTAAATAAAAATGTATATATAAATGAATATTATTTTATTTTATTTGGACTACTTACACATACAACATACATATTTATGTTTATTATACCTGATAATTTTCTTTAAAGCTTTTAAAATATAAGCTACCAAATGGATAAAAAAAAAATTATATATTTCTTTAGTTAAATACCATAAACTAACTATCTGTAAAACATTATAATAAAAATTATTTACCTTTTCTTTTATACAATTATTTTTATTCAAGCAGGCGACTGAAAATTGTATCACCAATAATGATACATAGTTTGATTCTATGATACAGTATTTATATATAAATTTGTTTCGTTATTATTAATTTAAAGTTTTCCTGACACTATCATCTGAATTTAGTGATACAATATATATATTTCTTATTGTTAAAATTAGAAATAAAAATATATTTAATAATAAATGGTAAATTAACTCAAATAAAATATTTATAGTACTAATTAAACTCTTTAATTTTTTAGTTAAGTACAAACTATTTGTAGTTATGTTTAAATTTATTATATTTTAGGAATTCAACAATGATTCTTTTTATACATCAACATCATTGTCATACAGATTGTGGTATATGTACTCTTCGTTTTTTATTTTTCGCACAAGATTATATTTGGGCTTTATTTTTTCTGAGCTTATTTGTATAGCTTCTGGAATGGGCGCTTATCCTGAAATGACAGATCCACAGTCTGGAAGTGGTCCAACTAAAAATTTTGAAACATTAGAAACAGAGTATGTTTTTATTTCATAAAATATATAAATATGTACTGAATTTTATACTTCTTTGAAATTATTTAAATATTTTTTGGTCTTCACTATTCATAGATATTCTGGAAAAAGAGAGACTTACAATTTTGATTGTATTGAAAGTATTGATATCATGAAAGTAGAAACTATCTCTACAGTTCGCGGAGCTACAAGAATTTGGAATATGACAGTACAGTACTGGATTGCTGAGTATGTGTATAGAAGAATTTCTATTAAAAAACTTAGGTAATTACTAATTACATTTATTTATGTATTTTGTACGTCAGAAATTTTTCACCATGATATATATTTTTATTTTTATTAAAGAACGTTGGTAGCATTTGGTATTTCTGCATTCTGGCATGGAATATACCCAGGCTATTATGTTAGTTTATGTTCAGTGCCTTTTTATTTGGCAGTGGAAGATATTTATGATAGACAATACCGTAACTATGCTGACTCTGCAGGCGTAAGTATAATTTACATATGAATTTTGAAAACATTATCTTTAATAACTGATCAGTTAAGTGAACGCTATACTTGTTTATGTTGTTTCTGCCCAACAAAGATACAACATAGCAAATTTGCACTTAATTAAGAACATTTTATGTTGTTATCTTTAATATGAGAATGAATTATCCTATTATCAAAGTTAAAAATAAAATCATTAATTATGCTTAAGTTTTGATTTTTTTTTATATTTTAATTTTTAAGATATAAGTGTTTAATATTATTAGTTAAAATATAATATAAAGAAAAAAATCACATTTAAGCACAGATAATATTCTTATCTTTCACTTTAATATTTAAATGGTTTCACTGGAAGGCTTCTTAAATTTGTCTTTTTAACCATATAATCAAATATCACTTTCATTTATTTGTCTATTTGTAACTGATTGTGGATTAAATTATGATAAAAAAAAAAACTGATATAGAGAAATTCACTGTAATATTAAAATCTAACAACACAAAATTGATTCTACTAAAGTAGTTAATATTGTGTGTTTGTAAGACAAAAACAACACAAGCAAGTGTAGCACCTTTTTGAAATATTAAGAATTGGGAAATATTGAAATTTAGTTTAACTTATGTATTTATTCGCCAACAAATATTTGTTATACTACTGAAATCTTAGTATAATATCTAACGAATTACTTTTAGTATTCTGTTTCTTATAATAAAAATGGCATAATGTAATTTCTGGTTTTTATTACTTTCATCAATATTACATATTAAATTGGAACTGATGTTACTTAAAATATAATAATTTAACGTGTTTTTGTATTTTATTTTAATGAATAATAGTTTGGTGGTTAAAACATTTAAAAATTATTTTTAAAATGAAACAGTAATTATTTTTACATATTAAGTCAAATATTCTTTTTTTTTTTTTGTTGATCTAAGAAAAACATTGACATCAAAGGACATTAGCTAAATATTCTTTTAATTGATAAGTTATTTGTTTTATTTTTATAAACTCTATTACTTAAAAAAAAAATTAACTAGAGAGTTGTGATTTGTTAAATATTTAATTGATATTTTATTTGTATTGTATAGAAACGCATATTGTGGACATTCTTCTTGTACACTATGAAAATGTATCAGTTTTCATTTTGGGGATGTACATTTCAACTTTTACATATCGACCTCATATTCAGATACTGTCAATCTATATATTTTCTCCCTTATATTGTTTTGATAACTATGTATGCTATCTCTCGATTCAACAATTTGCGAAATAGTTGACCAAATAAAACTATTTGGCCTATTGCAGTCAACATCAGAGAATTTCTTTAAGAGACTAGGAGCCTATTTATGTTATGTTTTGTTTTGTTTTGGTGAAGTATACCATAATTTTAAAATTAATGTATAAGTTGTATATTTTTCTTATATCTAATTGGCCTTCTACACCAATAGGTCTATATGAAAAGAAAATATTGCCTTTTCACCACTATATGAAAGACATTTGTAATAACATTTTATACGATCTATAAGAACATTTTTAATTGCTATTTGTATTAAGTTTAATTTTATAGATAAGTGTAAATATACAAAATGAAAAAATATAGCCTTTGATATAAAATATAAATAATTTTGACTATTAATTATTGTCTATTGTTATGTGAAATACAATAACTGTTTATTATTATTATATTAATTTATTAACTAATAATTGTGAATAAATAATATTAATGAATATGTTATGTGTGTTATGTAAATGCTATAAAAATAGTAACAATTATAGATGTAAATTCAACTAATTATGCTCCTATCATAAATTTATTCCCTTATGGCTTATTCAAAGTATATAAAAATAAGTACATTAAAACTTAATATTATTTGATAAGTAATTTAAATTATAAATAATTTTAGTGTAAACTATTTTATTTATTTTTTACACAATGTCTTTATACAGTGGTTATTTTATATCATTAATATATACAAGATTTGAAATATTTAAAATAAAATATAAGTATATAAAGTAACATTTACTTTTATGTTAAAGTATTCGGTATAATATGACATTCTATTATTGCTTTAAAAATTAGTAGCATTCATATAATTTATGTTTTTATAAAATAATCAATTTTATCAATTTAAATGCATATTAAATATTATGTTTTTTAATCATAAGAATTAATTTAATATTTTGTGCCATATTTTTCTTTATCATTTTAATTAATATTTAAACTTCCAACTAACACCCTCAAATATATTTATTCTTAATTATTATTAGGATATAAAAATATACCTTTATCTAAAAGTTAAGACACACATAATATACGCATAATTATTATATATACTTAAGATTTGCCATGCTCGTTTAAGTTATAGGCATTTATAATATATAAGAATAATGTATACTTGTATGCTTTAGTATAACTGTGTATACTATATGTATATAATTAATGATGTGCTTAAGCTAACTATATACATAAATTTATCTTTGAGTTTTCGTAAATAATAAAATTGTTTTGTATATTTTTTTTATGTTTTGATCTAGATAATATAAATTGTATATTTAATTGATTGTTTTGACTTAATTAATTTTTTTTTTTTTTTTTTTTTTTGTTTTATTAAATGTTTCGATGAGGAACTTAATAATTGAATAAGTGTTTGATTGTTTATTTCTATTTTAGCATTATAATTTATAATGTACGTTTTAACTATTGGTTGAAATAAATAACTATAAATAATTTTAACATTCTTTAATGTATTTCACATTATTTTAACTTGCTTTTAATATTGCTGTGTAACATTTTACTTTTGTTGCTGAGTGAGCATTGGACTCACCTCTTTGATTTCTCATTATTATTTATTATTTAATTAACACAGACATCAAATCTAACAATAGATTACTTACATTTTATATTTTTATAAAAAGTGTTTCTACCATTTTTGTACATTTTAAATATTTCAAACAAAAAAATTAAAAATAATGTTACTGTAAGAATTTAATTCAAATATTATTTTCTTTTGAAAATTATTATTTTTATTTTTTTAATGTATAAATTAACATTCTATAAAATAAATACATATAGTATAAGTTTTAATATTATTCGTTTAGGCCCGACGTGTCTGACACATGTTGTGTCCATTGTTACGCTCAATTAATGGATACTGATGAGTGAAGACTAGTGTTCAAAAATTATAGGAGTTAAAAAGGCAAAATATGTACAAAAAAATTATAAAATATGCATGAAAAATTATGAATTATACAAAACAAATTTAATAAATATGTAAAGAATTATTCAAAAACACATAAAAATGTCGTTATTACTTATTATCAACTTAAATACTTGCAGATCTTGTTGACGATAAAATAGTATTTTGACATTTTAGCGCAATAAATATTAAATGTGAATCGCACTATTGTCATTAAATAAATGGGTTGAACCAGAATACGATTGTGCATGTTTGTAGATGATATTAATTTTACTATTAACCTAATAAATATTTATTAAAATATGTACACTTCTATAACAATTAGGTACCTACTTAATGAGAATAATTAAATAATTGTAAAATAATTAATAAATAAATAAAATTATCCTTAAATTATTAATAATGCTCAATACTTCGTACACGATCGTATAGCTTAAAAAGGTATCAGCGATAACAAATGTAGGTACTTACGTACGCAATCGTCAATCGTGTTTTATCCAAGTTTATAGTATAGATGATCAAAAATAACATAAATTAAATAACTATGATAAATAATATTTAGTTTTATATGACGCTCGTTTTCGGCATTATTAACGTTTTATAATTATATATACAAGGCTGTCCGATAAATAAGGTACAAAAATATACCGAATAATGAAAAATGAATTTATTACTTTAAAACTTCTACACAATAAATTAGACATATTTTGCTATTTTTCTATATAGTCACCATTTAAATTGATGCATTTTTCCCAACGATGGAATAATTTGAAAATGCTATCTCGGAAATATGCAGCACATTTTTCATCGAAGTACTCTGTAACTGAGTTCATTACCTCCTCTTCATTTTGAAAATGAGTTCCTCCTAAGTGTTTTTTTTAACGGACCGAACAAAAAAAAAAACTGAAGGTGCCAGATCAGGACTATATGGTGGATGTTGCAATAATTCCCACTTGTACTTTTCTAGCCAAGCTTTAGTCTTTCCCGCTGAATGTGGGGGTCTGGTGTAAGCATTTTCGGAACCCAACGTGAACAAACCTTACGAAAATTTAATTTCTCATGGACAATTTCATGTACAGTGGTCTTTAGTAGATCAAGTTGTGTAGCCATTTCCCTAATTTTAAGTCGTCTATCCGATCGTAACAATTTTTCGACCGCCTCAATGGTTTCGGCGGTGGACGTGCTTATTGGTCGACCATTTCTTGCTTCATCTTCAACACTTTCTCGACCTGAATTAAATTTTGTACACCAAACCGATACACTTTTTCGAGACATTACGTGCGGGCCATAAACTTCGGTTAATTTTCTATGAATTTCAGTCGGAGAAACATTTTGAAAATTAAAAAACCGAATGACGGCGCGAACTTCTTCTTTTGTGAAACTTAAATATTGGTTTTCCATGTTTAAACTTACGTATTCGACGGAACACTAAAGTAAAATAGTCATGACACTCATGACTCATGATGCATAGAATACGTCGTTTGTTACATATATTATCAATGCTGGAAATTTCAAACTGATATCGTCTATTGTTTACGCCAAAAATAACTTTGTACCTAATTTATCGGACAGCCTACGTAAGATAAGATTATTTTAAATAAACAGTTTAAGAAAGAAAAAACTCGACATTGTACAGCTCGGATTTCTGCTTGGTCTGCTATAAATCGATGGCGTAGATACTGAACAATATGCAAATCCTATAACTTCCGAACCCTATTTATTATTTATTAGTAAATATTAATTAGTATACATTTTGACATTGTATTTTGTATTGGGTACTCGTAATATAATATTTGTCATAATATTTTGAATTGTAAAATTGTTTATTCAGCGGTTTGTAATATTTTTCATCACCACATTGGTTCTCCGTCTTCGTTTCAATTATTTCTAAAAGTGCTCGTAATTTTGTCATTCATCAATGTTTTTCGAGTTTTAGTACTAAATAGTTTTACTTTGATTTTGCTGTCTTTTATAGAATGTATATTACCAGTTTTGAAGAGAGAACTTATTAGGATTTCACAGTTAAGTAAAAAAATATAAACTACAAGCCAAATTGGATCAATAAAATAAACATTATGTTCAAAATACATATTATACAATATACATAAAATATTCTTATAATTCTTTAATTCAATATTATACTACTACTTGTTGTTTATTAATACTATTTTAATTTTAGAATTTTAGATCAGCGGTTTTCAATTAGATAATGATTAATTGTTTACGACAAAACGTTAGAATATTTGAAGGTTGGTATTAATAAAAATAAATCTAACGTTATCAAACAAAAAAAAATTAATTTTTAATTTTAAAAACATATCATCATATAATAATTTTGTAAGACATCAGTAAATCTTAGTTAATTCTAAGTTTTCGATAATTCTATACTATAATAGTTTTAAATTTCAGTATGAGTTCAATGACTAAAAGAAAGGTTGAAAACTTCTAGTTTTTTCGTATTTTTTAGAAAAATCATTGAATAATGTAAGTGATTATTATATTAACATAATACAAATTTAAATACAATAAATAGTATTCATTGGCTGACAAGATAAATATTATTTAATAAATTCATAATTTTACCTACGATTCAAAAGTCTCAGGAGTTATTGTTGTTATAGGATATTCTACGTATTGTTGACAATTCTAATTCAGATTTTGACTTTTTCGTGATATAACTTTGTGTGCTTCTGCCTTCTGGTATTATGCAATTTGAAATTAATTCTTTTTTTAATATTTTTGTCACTCCTTGAAATTAATATTAAAATTAGTCATAGTTTTTTTACAAAATAAACACTATTAAGCAAAACAATAAACATATTTAATATTATAAAATTTATTTTTGCATGACTTCAACATTGCTTTTAATGATTCCTCTTTTGCAGTCTATTTAATAACTTCTTCCATTATTCTTTCACAGAATAGAACACTTACATCTTCGTGAATTTTTAGTACCTGTGTATCGAAACATAACAATAACTACTTTTGAAAATATATTTTGTATATATTATTAGATATACATAATAATAATTTTATGTTATCATAAATATTATAGCATAAAGCCAATAATTTTTAATATTTAAAAATGCTTTAATATTTTATTAGATAATGTTATTATTAAAACAGTTCATTTATTTTTTATTTTATTTAAAATATCCTAAAATAAACAAATCAGATACTTTGGAAAAATCTAATTACTCTATAATAATCAATATAATCAGTAATACTTTATTTATTGATTTTTGTTTATAATAAATAGAAATATAATTTTGCGCATTAATCAATAATCATTTGTTTTAATATTTCATCTTGTTCAAGACTTCCTGTTATTTATATTTGTCTTTTTTTTCTCTCTATTATTTCATTCGCAATTCTACTGAAATTTCCTTGTTGAATCAACATTTTGTTTTGAATTTCACTGTAATAAATATGAATTGATTCGTTGGAAAGAATGTCGAAAAATTTACTAATATGTTTTCTTCTGGAATATTCTAATACATCAACACCTGTAATTTCTTTAATCCTCTGTAAGAAGGTATATTTTATTATTAAATACTTTTCTATTAATAATTATTCTTAATTTAAAAAATATTTTTTTTATAATTATACTTTTGTAGTATTAAGTTTTTCTTGTGCTTCGTCTGAGTGTAAAATTGGTTTAATATCTAATTTTTGGCATTATCATCTATAATAAATTAACGTTAATACTACAATTTACTATTATTATTAAGTTTTTATTTTAATCATAATCTGATAAGCTCTTCCTCGTAATAGTCTTTGGAACTGGTCACGCTTTTGTCTAATTCGGTAAAAATGTCTTCATCATCAATTCGATATTTTTTACGATTTTCTTCAATGACTTTATGTTTGTTTTGTGATTTTGAATTAAGTATTTTAGATTTAAAGCTTGTATCTTTAAATGAAAATTAAAATGAAGTAACTACCAATATTTATTTTACCTATATTAAGTTAGACCTTTATTAGTAATTAGTGTACATTTGACATTATCTTTCGTATTAATATATTTGTCATAATATTTTGAATCGTAAAATTGTTTATTCAGCGATTTGTAATATTTTTCATCACCACATTGGTTGTCCGTCTTCGTTTCAATTACTTCTAAAAGTTTGTTCGTAATTTTGTCATTTATCAATGTTTTTTGAAATTTTAAATATAGGTCTTGATTATTTTCATTTGTTGGCAGTCGGGGAAAACTTATTGAAAACTTATTTTGTGTGGTTTGTGAATCTGAAAATCATATTAAGTATTTAAATATAATTGTAATTTGTAATACTATATTTTATTGACATATAGATTTTTTTTAATATGTTTAAAACTTTTTGTTAGTTTTGAAAAAAGTTTTAATGCTTTGGGGTCTTACTTTGATTTCGCTGTCTTTTAAGTATGAAGAATATCTACTAGATTTATTTCTATCAATATCTTCATAGGTTTGAGCATTTCGTCGTAAAAATTTATTTTGTTTCCAAATTAAAAATCTTTGATCTAATATTAAAATAATAGAAATAGTATAGTATAATTAATCTCGATTTTATGAAATATTTGAGTGTATAATAGGTACCTACTTCGAGCGTTCGAGCCAAGTGTTTAGCCCTCTGATCGATTTTAACTTTTAATTTATTTTTGTTTAATATCTGAATTCTAGTCATATTAGATTGATGGCGTTCAACATTTTCAAAAAGATTTTTATTTTTCATATGTATCTTTTCTGAAATCATTCGATTTTTTTTCCTGTATTAAAAATAATAAGTGTAATCAATAAATAATTAAAAAAGATTTTTAGAACTAAAAACGAAAAAACTACTGTTTAGTATAATAGGCTTATTATGTCTCGTCAATAGTCGTCATTTACATTGCTGTAATGCCAATGGACGTTTTTAATTTAAGTTTGGTCATAAATTGTTGCATAGGTACTAAAAACGATTTTGAGTGTAGACTATGTCAGTCTCTTTAGGGAATATTTTACAATTTTTAGAATAGTTTTAATCATTAATTTTAAATTTTAATATTTATAATTAAGAATTGAACTAATTTTAGGTAAAAACACTGCATACATTATTAAATAATTATTATATTAGCTTATAATAAATTATTTTTGTTAGCTTATAAACAAAGCGTGAATTTCTATGCAATCGCATATTTTTTCCTTTTCACTTTTTTAGATTTTTGTTAGTTATCTTCACAAATTATAATAATTTAAATCTAATGGTAAAATTTTTATTTTGTATATTTCTGTATATTTAATGGTTATTGCATTTGCATATTTTTACAAAATTCAAAATGTATTGCATATTAAAGCGAAAACTTTTCATTAAATATTTAAGTAATTAATTATTATAAGTTGTTTAATTTGTGAATTTTAGATAAATAAAAAAAATGTCTTGCGTATTTTTTGCATATTTTCATGATTTTTACTGCTTAGTATATGGCATATTTCGATACTTTTTAGTGCATACAAATCCGTGCTCTACTAATAAACTATAAATCAATATACCAACGTACAATAAATTGGTCAAATTAATAGTTTTACATTAAAGTGGCATATTTTAAGATCCTATAATTTATATTTATTAAATCAAAACAAAATAGTAAAAAACATTTGAGTAAAAATCGTTATTTATGTTTGAAAGTACCAAATTTGCTTAATTTATTTAATATTCTGGTAAAAAAAAAATGACCTAAGAGTAGAGAAAACTTGTGTTTAATTTTTTAACTATAAAATAATTAGAAAATTTCGGAATTTCGAATGTTTATAAAAAAAATTGTAGCTAGAATAAGTAAACGCACATTGTTACATGACCAATATATTCATTGTTTCTCTTTAAATCTTAAATTTGTCATTCATATAATATGACGAGTCATTTTTATAGCTCTAATATTATAAAGTAAATATTAAGTTAAAGTTTTTATATAATTGTAATATTGTTTTCGTTCAAAATCTGATACAATACAAGTATACGAATATGCAATACAAAAACTAACCTAATGCTGAACATGAGTTTAATGAAAACAAATTAATGATATTTGAAAGAAAAATCTTGCAAAAAGTTTTTGGGTCAAAAATAAAAATACGATTACGAAACAAGGGGGTAAACTGAGAACTTATTACTGTATTTAGCGATTCTAATATAGCTAGTAGTCATTTCAAGAGCCAAAGCTAAAGCTAGGTCGGACACGTATGGAGAACAGAGGGTCAACTTAAACAGTTACAAAATGAAGACCTAATACAAGTCGATTAACTACCAAGGAGGAGAGAAGACAGCATTGGGACTTTTGGGAGTATCGAGTAAGAGATCTTAAAATATTGCACACCATAAAGAAACGTGAAGAAAAGTTGTGGTAGCCTAAAATAAGCTAAAAAAGAATGTAATAAATAATACTTAAAACTTTTGACAAGTCGGTTATATTAGTATAATAAACAATAATATATGAAAATTTTGAAATCTGTATAGCATTTACGTCCGTATGTCCAAATGTAAATATTTTTATTATCGCGCCATATAAAATTTATAACCCATCAGTATAAATAGTCCGTTACTATGATATATTTTGTATACCGCTACAAAACATTTGAATAATAGTAAATAATTAAATAATTAATTGTTAATTTGTTTAAATAAATAGTAGCATAGTCGATAAAATTCCGATCAGCTGAATGCTGATTGAGTGTCACTTGTTATTCCTATATTTTTATTTTATGGTATTATGACTATGGTCTATGACGAAATTAATTGGTATAAATACATTTAGAAGCGAAATAATATAGGTTATTTCGTGATATAATAAATTGTTGACATGTGCGTCGTATAATTAGATGAATCGTTTTAACTAATCTCTGTACGGCTAGCGATGTAAGCTCGCGTGTACAGTAAAGAAGTATAGTTGGTCGTTATTTTAACTTCTTTGTAACTACGTCATAGTCACTTTTACGATTATATATAAACTATAAACATTATAAACATAGGCAATTGATACTAGGGCCCAGGGATAACAAGTTAGAGCCAACAGGCCTGGACACTGCATTAGCGGTGAAGTACGGTCACCATTGAGTTTCTCGCAACAGTCCACAATAATTGATAGACGCAATAATCTTTGCTCAAAATGCCTGTTCAGTATTCACACCAGTTCTACAACATCTATATGACTATATATTTAAGTTGACGAGACCTTAAGGCCCTACTTATGTCTGTATGTAGAAGTTTACCATTCCCCATTATAAAGTAGGTATATTTAAATATTTTATTAATTTTAAAAATACAACGTGTGTAAGAAAATAAAGCTGTGACAAGTCCTTTGAAATATGATAACGATGTTGGTAACTACTAAGTAATAACTAGTACGGTCAGTAAGGACAGTATGGTCACATCACCCAGGAGCTAGCCGAGAGAGGAGAGAATTGACATTTAAAAATGTGAGTACAATTTTTTTATTAAAATCTAATATAATATCTAATATTATAAAAAACAATGTCCAATTTTAACTTTAGAAAAAATATATGATTTCAACAGAAAAATTATTCAACGTTTACTAACTTTAATTTTTCTAAAATAATAACCATAAGTTGCCATAAAATTCGTATGATAGACTTTATTGTACTATTTTTGAATTATTAACGTGTGCGTATAAGAACGACATTCGCTGATATTCTACTCAATGATAAGATTAAAAAATTGCCTAATTGTTACTCCTTAAATAAAATCTAGAACGGAGTCTCTTAAAGATTTATACGAGAAAAAAGTTTTTAATGTAAAAATATTAAAACATTTTCATTAGTATATTTAGGTACAAAGTGAATCCAAAACGAAATTTAGAACGTGATAACCAAGTTTCTAAAGGCAGATTTGGTTCCTTATTCCATTTATTTTAGAATTTAGGATTAAGTCTAAATTATAATCACATAATATTTTTTATATTAGGTGTTGGTAATATAGACGCATAGTAATTGTTTTAATATAATATTATCTTAAATTGCGACCGTTTACGTGCAGGTCACGTTCGGATCAAGCTACATAGATATATTAAAATTTATTAAAATAATACTTTAAAAAGTATAAAATATTTTATATAAATATTAAAATAATATATTCAGTGTCTCAGTGGTATGTGAGAATAATATATCAGCGAGAAATTACCGATTACGATTAATGATAACAATAATAGAGCTGTGATAACATAGATAGCAAGATAAAATAATGTAGTCGCTATATAGATTACATATAAATGGTACGAGAGTACAATGCACAAGACTATCGGTCTGATAATATTATTAAATATTAATTATTAAAATGTATGCTCATATTGTGCTTGTGCGTACTGCGTAGCATTAGCATTAGCTGGTGGCTATTGGTTAGGCTACTATAGTGAATTGCAGTTGTTTCATAGTATTCCAAGTAGATAAATATTATTATAGATTATTGTTGTAGTTCATTTTTGCGGCGTTCTGTCGCTGTCGACTGTTAAGCGGTCGTCACCCGTCACTCTCGTCAGACGACGTCAGTACTCAGTAGTGTCATTCAATATAATGCGTGCATGACGCGTGTGTCATTCATTACTCATAAATAAGTGGAAACGACATGTGTCTCTTTTAGAAAATAAAAATTGTCCGCGTTATTCAATTTTTTTTCGCATCCCCTCCCTGTGACCTTGTGTGGCGCGTATTGTATCGTGTGTAGACTGTCGAAGTGTCGACGGTTATTCATTCCGTTGTAAATAATTCCTGACAAAGACGTTTGTTTGACTGACGTAAAAAAAATAAATATAAATAATAAACACAAAATTCTTCCCATCGTATTTTTGCCGATTCGGGTAATACTGTTATGATTACTTAGTACTGACTTTTCTTTGTGCCTTGAATGTGTTGAACTGTTGAGCGTTCAGTCGCGCGTGTGCTCTGTTGAGAGTCAATGTATTAATTTGACTGTTTAGTTGTCCAGAAAATACTGTACACGCTCTACGCTTCAAACGTAGTCATGGATTTCAAATATCTGTTGATAAGCGTGGTGCTATCGATTACAGCCAGCAATGTAAATTGCAATTTGTCCTTTGATGATATTGATGATGTCTTTGAGTTGACCACCAAAGTGTTTCATTTCATCAGCCAATCATGGGATGTTGCTGATAAAATGGAAGAGCATTTAGGTGATGAAAATACTCCAATTGTGTGGTACACAAAGAAAAAAGAACGAAAGATTTTATCCTACTTTGGACAAATCACTCATCTTATGCAAATCACCCAAAAGGAAACAAATGAATTAAGGACTATGATGTTGGTTAGTCTTAAAAAGCTGCAATCCTTGCCTGATGCTGTTTTGAACGGCATGCAAATTAATGAACTCTTGGAGTCTGTCAGATCAATTGAAAATGATTTTATGACTATGGAAGGTATGTATTTTCTATATTATTGCTTTTAATAACAGTTCTTAGGTATTATGTTTCTAGATAAAAATTAAAATTGTTCTTATACATAATATAAAAGCACAATAGTAATGTAAAATGTTTTATATATACCTATTTTGGATTTGTATTTTGTACTTTTTATATAATTTCATTAATTATGTACCTAATGAGAGGTATTTTATTAGTTCTGGTACCCAGAGAGTTTAATTAAAATGTTTTTGATAGTTAATATTCAGTAATAATATTTATTCTTATTTTGAAATCAAATTTATGTTTAATAAGCTTGTAATATTTTTGTATTGATAAATTTTTATGAATATGCTATAAAATAAAATTTGTGACATAGCTATAAATAGATAAATGTATAATTTTTTGAAATTGTGAACTTCAAATAATGCAAACAATAATTATTAGGTAAATGGTAAATTAAACCATTAAAATATTATTTCAGATCTAATTTAGTTGATTTAAATATTTAAATATAGGGTACCTTATTTAAGTGTTTTGAATTCATATTTATAAATATGTTAATATCTTAGATCTACGATTATCTATGGTCAAATAAGCAAACTAAAATTCTATTACTCTATTATAATATAAACAAGTTTTTTTTTTTGTTTACCAGTGCTTTATAATTTCTAAAATAACCGAAAAGCAAAAAATTAATAATTACAAAAAGATAGAAATATATTAAGCATTTTAGATAAAACATTCAAGGGGGTTGACGAGTGGAACGAGTATGGAATAAAGTCATCACACTAGCACTAAATTTAATTAAATGTTTAAAATGTTTATTATCTCTGATTAGTTTTTGTTTCTAAATTACCAATTAAAATAACTAAGTATCTTATTTAGTTGTGTAATGTTTTTAGAAATTAGAAAACTTACATAGTTATTTTTTATCCTGTTTATTTATCAATGTTTATAATAGTACTAGTACCATTCTCAGTGATATATTTGTACCTATTAAATCTGTGATAGTAATAATGGTATTTTTTAACACTAAATTAAAAAAAAAACAAAACAATTATTACATTTAAAAATGTTATTCAGGTTCAGCCTTCTTCAGTTTACTGTGTTTTTATATTATGTTTAGAGTATAAGTATGAAGAAAATGGTAAGAATGAAAAAAATGTAAATCCTACGTATACATCTTATACATTAGAGAAATTTGCTGATGCAATGTTGACATACTCTGCGGGATCTCCTCATAAACAGTTGGCTAAAATTCATTCTTTCATTGTTCCGGAATGGGAAGAATTTCAATTTCATACACATGGCGGTATTTTCAATATCTTACAACACACTTTTGTAAGTAATGAATAATTTTGTTAACTATTTTTAGTAGTATTTTTTTTTTAATTGAATATGTATAATTTAGCAGTAATAATTATCTTTATCTATTGTGGATTTATTACATAAAAATTATTTCAAGCATTTAATTTATACAAACATTTTTACTAAAGATATTTGAAAATATAATATTTTATATATTATAAGGTATATATTATTTATTTAACGTAATTGAATGAAGTTTTAGTACTCAATTTGTATAGTATTATTTTGAAAAATATTTATATTACCTAAGGGAGTATACAAATTTTTTTTTAATCTAATGTAACTTAACAATAAATTTAGTTCCATTTATGAAGTTAAAAAAAAATAATATTAACTCGTATTTTAAGTTTTAAATTTTTATGACGAAAGTAACCAAACTCCATGTCTAGCAAAGAAAACTCGATTATCTTTAGTAATCGAATTTTAATAATGATAATTTAAAATAAGTATATACACGAAAAATTATCAATAAAAACTTAGATGGAAAAGTTTATTGTCGTAAATTAGATCTACTTAATACTTTCGGAGGTCAAAAGTAAAAAATTCCTTGTAATTTTTTTGATAACCGAAAAAAAAAATTATGGAAAAATAAGATTTTTTTTTTACTTAATCAGTTTTTGATAAAATTAAGTTTTTTATTTTATTCAAATTTAAAAACAAATAACTGTGGAAACTTGAATTTGAATTTTTCATCGAGTGTTTATATTATAATTTTCAAAATATTTTGACTTTGAGTATGAGAAATTTTGAATTCTTTTACGTTTTTTTATAAATGTCGTTAAAAAATTATTTGTTGGTTCTAATTTCTTCAAAATTTAACTCAAGATTTTGCATAAGTTGTTCTTATATCTGTATAATATTATTAAAAATACATATGTATTTTAAGTTAAAATTTTTAAAAATTCTTCAAAATCATGGAAATTACAAACTTAAAGTATTTTGTAATATGTAAGATCTTTAATGTTTATAGCTGAATTATAAAAATATAATAATATAATATAATGTTCTTTACTTAATCCTAAGAAAATCTAAGAAAATTTTTCGTGGGATTTTTTATGTATATTATAAATTTTACTAAACACAGTGGCCAGTGGTATTTTAAAAATATGTTGTTTAATTTTAAAATATTATCTAATTATAATATGAACTTCTTCACACTATTTTACGATGTTTATAGTAAGGTGTTATTAACTTTAAATAGGTATAATAAATGTAATGTTTTCGGAAAAAATTATATCAACATACTATAAAAAATATTTTAATAAATATGTAATATTAAAAATAAAATAAATTTATCGTTAAATTAATTTTTTTACTTTGTACTTTTAACTACTAAGCGGATAATTTTCATTTTTTATTTATGAAATAAAATAATATTATAGTACGTCTGTAGTAGGGAATGGAATGTTAGCAAGGGACAATAGTATGCCCATGGTACCTATAGAATAGTTGGGTTATTTTTGGAGTTCCATGTTGATACATCACACGGTGTGAATAGTGAAACAGTAAGTACTAGATAATGTTTAACCATCCCTATGATAACTTATTTTATAATATGTAAATAATTATGTTATGATTATAATTTATAAGAAAAATTTAATAACGGCATAACTTATCTATTGCTATCACCCATTATTAATAATAATTAATAATGTAATTGTAGGGATTGTAAAAACCCCAGCCATTAATTAAAATATCTCAAATTTGTACCACAAGCATATTATATTTAATTCTTATCAAAATGATAAATATATTAGTTGAACAATAATTTGTTTATGATTTTTTTTTCTTGTGTCTTAACGTCTAAAAATTTGAATAAACTTTTAGAGCAGTAAAAATTTTAAACTTTAATCATCAATTAAAAGAGTGGTTTTCGATTTCAAATTGGATTTATGGCTTTGAAGTTTGAGTAGACAAGAATAGAAAATTTTTAACTTTCAAAACATCAGAAATTTTTTTTTTTTAATATTATAGAAAATGAGAGTTTTTTGCAATTAAACTCAATAAATTTTATATTGGTGTAGATAAAATATTTTTCTTGCAAAATAGCCGAAAACGATTCCTGGTTCCTCTGAACTAATTAATAGTTACCCTAACTGAGCGTTGTTAATTTGTTTTTATTCTCATTATTACAAATATATTGTATGTTTGTTTAGTATGGACTAAATTAAGTGAGTTTACTTGTTGTTTGTTAGTAAACAAGTCGTGAATGACTACTTTGATTAAACTTGATTGGTCGTGACTAATACTAGATTAAGCCAGTGTGTCACCGAATAAGTTAAAATGTGCCACGGAATTTATTAAATTACACAAAATATCCAAACACTTTTTACACAATTTACAAAAATTAATAGTTATTTGATATTATTTCTATAATGATTAAAAATTAGTATTATAATAATATTTTATCAAATATTCATATTACGAAAAAATAACATTATTTCCACAAGTAACCCAACTTAACACTACTAGACATTATAGACCTTTATTTAGAGCATTGGAGTTTCATATCATGACCACTATAATACTATATATTATATTATCATTGAAATATCAAAAGATCCTAAATTTTACAAGATACTTTTTATAATATAAATTATATAAATTATATTAATTATTATATATAAATATTTTTTTAAATGCAGTCCGAATTAATAAACATTAATTGGAATTTGCCATATACTAATTGGCTAACATTTTTTATCTTTAAAATGATCGATTTTTTGTCGTCAACATATTATATTATATTAATGATGCAAGCAAATTTAATTATTTTACCATAAGTACTTAAACAGACTGTTTTTATGGTGATAAATTATAATATTATAATTAGGGCTCTATTTTAAATTGGAATTTGGGCATATTTTTATTAGTTGGAAGCTAGATGCGTACTTAAAAATTATGTTTTATGTAGTTGATGTTTTTATTATTTGTTGATTATTTTACAAATAGAACAAAAGTATAATTCTTATGAATTTCTATTACAAGTATTTTGTATTACGCGTAGATTGAAATATTTTTTCACGGTCAAACGATTAATACGGAAATAGGTACATAATACAGTAATACCTATATAATCATAATAGTTCATAATAATATTAAATTATATTATGTCGCATTGGCGTGTTAACAGGATGTCTCACCCAAACGTATTATCTTCATCTTATAAATATATAACATAACATATCAAAATCATTGTTAAATACTAAAATATATGATAATAAATGTTAAATACATGAAAACATAATTTCATATATTTTATTTTATGACAATGCTTCGAACAGTCTTAATCAACTCGTCACCTTATAATATATATAATATGTATTAACATAATATATTTAGATATTTCATATATCTTATTAACTATCATTGGATATAATTAATCTCCCTATACAAACAATGTTATTAAGCATTTTCTTAGCTTATATTAAGTAATAATAAATATTTTAAAATTATTTTGTGGGGAATGATGTACCTATCTTACATAGTTGGATAATCAGAAATATTCACTATATACGTAATAATTCCTACATATTTGTTTTTTTGGGAAATTAATACTGATCATTATTTAAATAACCATTTATTTTCTGAACCTGTTATAAATCAAACTACAATTAATTTGATTTATAATTTAATATGAGAATTAAAGAAAAAAACAATACTTAATGATTTTAATTTTCAAGTATTTTTTTCAGATATATATTTCAAAAATAATAATATAATTATTTTAATTCTTGTTTAATTATTATGCATATTACAATTAAAACAAAATAAGATTGAACAAATCAAAACAAGTAAGCCTAAAATTACATTTTTTTAAAGTTTTATGCATAATTCCTGTGTAATAATTAAGATTAAAAGCTTTTAGTATTTTTGATACTTTTTTCAATTTTAAATTACGTTTAGTTCTAAAAGTATTGGTATTAGAACGTTTATATAATTTTATAATACGCCAGTTTTTTGGGTGAGATCGTTTTCGACCAAAAACATACTCTCCCCTTATCGGTCAAAACAAAATTTAATGTAATGTACGTAAAAAAATAAAATAGTTAGTATATAATTTTTTGTAAAATTAGAGCAATTATATAATTATTTAATTTTTAAAATGATTAAAAGTATTAGTTGCATAAAATATTGTAAAATAAAATGTGGAAAATTATTTAAAATATAATAGTATCTATTATATTAACATCATTTTTATGCTAATATGTCACAAACCTACTTTTGTGGTTTAAATTTTATTTTTTATAAAATATTATACATATTATATACTGTGACATTAACATAAAAATAATGTTAATATATAGATATTTTTGTATTTCAAATAATTTTCTACATTTTATTTTACAACATTCTATGCATTTAATACTTTTAATCATTTTCAAAACTATATAATTACTCTAATTTTACAAAAAATATATACCAATTATTTAATTTTTGCATATATTATTATATAAAATTTTATTTTGGACAAAAAAGGAATCAGTGTTTTTTTTTTTTAAATTTGGTCAAAAAAGGAAGGGTACGATTTTGATCAAGGAGTGAATCGGCCGAAAATAAAAGGATACGTTTTTAGTCGAAAACGGCCATGTCCCATTTTTTAATGAGTTATGGGAAATTGAAAAAAATTGCGATACATTATTATTGGTTATTGCCTGGTTGGTCCAATGAGTATATTTTATGTTATATAAACAATTGATATTTTGAAATATTAAATATTTTTACGATTATATTTTAATATTGTATCTTTATATGTTTGTACAATAATTATTTATAACGACCATTTAAAAGATCTTTTAAAAAATTTATAAAAATATTGATCAGATTTCAATAAAGTATAAAAAATGACCTAAAAATGCTAAGAAAACGACATTAAATTAAAAAAGTACAAAAATGCAAAATAAAAATTATATATTTGAACTCGTAGATGACCAAATCACATTTTGTGCTTGAAAAGCTATATCTTGAAAATC